TATCAGTGTGTTATACACCATCGTTAGAATCTAATAGTAACTAACTGTGAGGAATATGCTACAGAGATTTGGTTGGGAAGTGCTTCAACATCCCCCCCCTACAGTCCAGTTCTCTTCCCATGTGATTTTCACATTTTTGGAGACCTGAAGAGAGACATTCGTGGACATAGGTTTGCATCGGATGAAGACGTGTGTGGCTGGGTAAAGATGTGGTTCCATAGACAGACCACAAGCTTTTTCAAGGATGGGATTGACCATCTTATCTCCCAGTGGGATAAATGTGATAACAGTTTTGAAGATTACTTTTGAGGTAAGAAATGTTCTTTAATATGTTTTGGCTTCTGACCAGTTTTCATTTGACTGCCCCTCATATATTTATTGCCAGACAGTGGCTCTGTAAACATGAATACAGGCAACAATAGAAGGGAAACTATGTTTTCTATGTGGTCCGTGCCCAGCAAAAGCACGGAGCTATAGGATGTCTCTTACCGGGCAACACAGAGGTAACCATGCATCCACAACAACGGGAGATGGTGTTTTTTGTGGGTTCTGTGCAAAGGAATTATCTTAAACGTGAACAATGCTACAAGTCAGTTCTGAGTTCTCAGTGGAAGATAGTTATGGAAGGTTTGTTGTAGACGACAAGAAGACTTTGTAGTGATTTTAAGTGATAGTTTCTGTGCTGAGATCCATTGCTAGGAGACAACTAGTGGAAACAGAATCCTAGTGCATGTGCAATAGTGAACTGTAAATTGTGGGAACAGCAATAGTGCTGTATGAAATGTGATTAAGAGTAATTGTAACCAAGGTGCTAATGAATCCAATCATCCAAACTAGAGCCCACAATTATTTTGTCATGCGTACCACCCTACACATCACAGTATTGAATTGCTGGGAGTTGTCATCTATGGTTGGTAAGCTACGAGTATAGCAAGGGAATATTGATCAAAAAGGGATTGTATTGTACATTGTCTTGTATATTGTTTTGTACATTTGTAAGAGTTGTTGACATGTAGTGTTTGGCTGTTTTCAACTGACTTGTCCAATTGTGCCTGTATAACAGTTATGGATGTTAAATAAATTATTATTATCATTTAGTGAATATTTACATTGTGGTTGTACCTGGAGGGATTACCTTACAACTACATGTTCTAGCAAATGAGACTTAAATATTTGAAACAGTTATATTCTTAATGGCTCCTGGCAGAGGTCCATGTTCTGATACCACCAAGACAGAACTGCTATGCCAGTGGATCAAGACCATGGCAACATATTTTTTTGAAATGATAGTAAGAGGATCTGATGAACTTGATGGTAGAAAGGACGAGGAAGATTTTGTAAGTTTTGGCAGTACAACAGAGTGAATAAAGAATGACTTCAAGAAGAAAAATAACTCAATAAATGTGACATATAACATATTCTCTAATATTTATTTTCTTTCAAATGCTTGTAATAAGAGTATGAAATTAATTGATAAAATTATTGTCTCTGTGTGGACATTTCCTAGTGTGGGGTCCCCTTACATTTTGAATCATCTTCCATTGAGGTAAATATGGTTGTACATTTTAGTGCATTGTGAGAAAGTGGTCATGTTATAAATTATAGCAAAAGAATTGGTCAGCAAATAGAATTCTCACTTTTGTCTCAGTTCTTGAAATTTTTCCAAGTTTTTGTTTTAAACTGAAATAGCCATTCATGCACATGCACATTGCCATTCATCGCAGTTCTGTGCCATCATTCTTTAAATCCCAAAATCAAGGCAATAGCTTTATCCAAAACGTTGGTGCCTATTTACCAAATTATGAACTGTCATATCCAAGACAGCCATGATCTAAATACTAACCATGGTGATAACTTCAAATATCATGTATACCATCAGGGAAGTGTCAGGAAAAACTTTGATGTAAGGTAACAAAATGGAGTGAAACTGCCTTGATATATCTTAAGTACACTTAATCACTGGTAATGTGTAGGTTAAAAATAAGTGGAAGTGCATGTCATTCTTTGCTACAGTCAAGCAGTAACCACATCCTTCTCCTGCATGCCTGGAGGTGGTATCTTGGATCAATATATACAGATGAGCAAGTCAGTGCCACCCACTGGAAAAGTATGATGTCACATCCTGACATAAAATAGAACAGTTCTCTCTATTGGACAATAAAAAAATAACAACTCAGATGATAATTCCCTACTATTCCTTGTCTTCCTGGCGCGCATTCAAGACCACAAAATGACAATTTAGCCTGGTAAGTGGGTACCTGAGTTTGAAGAACATACTGCCACATTCTTTGGATAAAAGGTACAAGGAGTATGTTCCTTTAAACCAGCCCTGTCCAACATGGTGCCTGTGGTATATTTTTCTGGCCCCCTCCGTAACCACATATAATTCAGCTGATTTTTAATATTAATTCAAATTGTAAGACAAGAGACTTTTTGAACGTCTGAGTACTGTTAAATATTTTTGAAAAATATTATTATTATTATTATTAGTAGTAGTAGTAGTAGTGTGTGGTGGCGCCGGCACCTCCATAGGCATCATTGAATTGTGCCCGAGTACATAAGAATGTTAGACAGCACTGCTTTAAACGCTACCCACCCACCAGACTACACAGTATTATGTATAACCCAGAAGACATTATGAATCTTTACTGCTGTGGAAACCTCAAAGCATAAGAACAGAATCATGAACATTTAATATCAGTGAAATTGAATTACAAGTATATACCCTTTTTTATATAAAGATTGTATTATGTCACAGATGTCAACCAGTAGAGGGTTACAATTTAATGATTATGTTTCTTGAATAAGACCGCCTCTGTGGGCTAGTGGTCAGCGTTCCTGGCTACAGTTCCAGAGGTCCAGGTTTGATTCCTGGTGCTATCAGATTTTTTCTGAGAAGTGATGGGTCTGGAACAGGGTCTGCTAAGCCTTGTGATGATAATTGAGGAGATATTTCAATGAAATAGCGGCTCCAGTCTAGAAAACTGAAATTAACGGCCATGGGGATTTGTTGTGGTGACCAGGTGACACCCTCTATCTGCAGAAGTTGGCACTAAACTTTGCCGACAAGCGGCGGTCACTTGGTTGGTATAGTTCACTTGCGGACTAAAATCATGGAGTTCTTTCTTGAATAAAACAGAGAGTCCAAAGATTGGAAGTACAGTAGAACCCAGATTCTGTTCTTCTGTAACAGTTCTACAACCCAAGACGAGTCTTGGCTAGCTCAACAATTTCCTTCCATTGCTTCTTCATACAAGCATCTTCCAACTTCGACTTGGTCGCCTTATTTGCCAGCTTTCTCTTGTTGAGCTTTTTCAGCAATTGGTTTTTTTTTTTGGGGGGGGATAGGTTGCAGGCCTAGGTCCAATCTCCCTGCCTTGGAGGACCAGGATTTGTTACCAGGTTCTCTCCCATATTGGCTCCACTATGTCTATAGAGTTGCCCATGCCCTTAGTTTTCTGTCAGGGTAGCCTTCCCTTAGCTTTTGGGGATCCCATTCCTGACTGCAAGAGAGCAGTTTATCGCTCTTTCCTTTGAGTGGCACAGAGTTGCCACATCCGCCATCATTGGTGTTCCGAAGTTCTCTGCCTTGGGTGCCATTGATGACTTCACCATACCCTGGCTAGGGGCCCTTACATGGTACTATCAGCCGGGCCAGCTGAACCATGATTTTTAAAGAGGTATTACTCTATCATTCCCCATTTGTCCTGGCTTGAGAACAGTGATTATCTGAATTAATTAGTAACAACGGTGTTGTGGATAATCAAAAATTTGGATAATTGGATTAAATTCTTCTCCACTAAAAGCTCTATTACATACTGTTACAACAATAAAAACTAAAAAACTTTTAAAACAGGTGAAACATGAAAAATTAATAAATGTAATTATAAATTAACATTTTCAAACACTTTATTGAAAAAAGTCCAGCAATGTTTAACAGATGTGTACCTTGGTTACAGTGATTCAGTTGGAGTTACACTGTACTTGCTACCCACATCCATTATCATTATAATCACATACCATGTAGCATTTTACTTTGCATTTACTTACAAAACACAGCAAAAATAATTCTAGGTGATATATGAAAACTACAGTTCATGCATTAGTAACTATATGTTTAGATGCCATGCTGTGCCCTTCACTAGGTTAAGTAGTTCAATAACTTCTTTGAGCATACAACAAAGTTTGAAACATCCTATCCCTGCATTAAAATATTTTTATGCACATTGTAAATTTAAGAACTTTTCTAAAATACCTTCAAGAGAGAAATGTTCACTCACAGCAAGGGTATATGGTCCTCGCTTTACCAGTGATGACTAAAAAAATGTTAGCTTGCAACTAATTTCCCACTTGTTTTGACCATCTGTCACTTTGGGCACAGGTATTAAAATCAACATAATTAGTAAATTTCAACAATATATTTTAAATTCAGTATTAC